GGGGGGGGGGGAGCACAAGAAACATAGGAACTTTGGAAGGGGTGAGGAGAGTAGCATAAAAAATTATTTTCCTAAAAAATATTTTCTACTCTGTAACTATACACTATAAAATATTTTTCGAAAAAAAATTTTTACTCGGCAATCAAACAAGAGAAAATAAGTGATAAAACTACTCATTTTCCATGAAAACATTTTCCTTCGTACCAAATACACCCATACTTTAGCTCTTTTTCCTTTTCACCTCCCCAAATGACGAAAATTTCCTTTTTACATTCACTATATCTAATGAAAACTAAAGCTCTTATAACTCACAGTTGAGTAATAGATGGAGTAAATAGTGAATGGTTGATGATACTAATAATAAATGATTTTTTGTTCAAAATCATTGAAACATTTGGGCGAATAATTAATAGACTTCCTTCAGCCCCAGTTCCAACAAAATAATAAATGATTGGGGAATATACTAGAGATGAAGAAACACATGCTAACTAATGAAGAGAGCTGGTATCACCTGGCAAGTGTTACAAAGCTGGAGAATTGAAGGAGAAAGGAAAAAATTCTACTGCTAAGCTAAGAATCTAAAGTAAAAATAAAGACAAGGTTTTCATTCATAAGCCTCTGAAAGGGAAAAACTGTACATATAATGAATTAGGAGCTAGGGACTAAACTATAATAAAGGAAACTTACAATGGTAATTAAATAATAAGGTAAACTAGTTAAAGTGGACTTAAATGCAAGAAGCAAAAGTTGTTAACTGATCAACCGACCCCTCTCTCTAATTTCACCGTACAATCTAACAAGCCCATTGTACAAGCTCCACCAATAGCTCCAACTGTTCCCATTTTGAATCGTATCAGTTCTCCTCTGTTAAGAACTTCCTTGTCCTCAAGGAAGAATAGATGGAAAAACATACTCTCAAAGCATTCATATCTTCTCAGATCAATGAGTGTCAGCCCCATGCAAGCATTATGCACTCTTGAACCCATGAAATCAGTCGGTTTAATCTTTTTCTTCTGTGGCTTAGGAGACATCCAACAATCTTTGTAATTGAGTAGGACCAACAACTGTTTCCTGAAAAAATCCTTAGCTTGATGGTCGTTTATTCCTCTTGATTTAGAACTAGTTTCAAAAGTGGCATGAATAGCTTGTTTTAGTCCCAAATATACCTCCCATTCCCTGATAGCTTCTGCTATATGCAATCCAACAACAACAAGGTCATGCTTAAGGAGAGCTCTTGCCTTTACAGAACCAATCGATGCATATACACGAACTGTTTGGTCAAGAATCCCTTTTGGATCAATCTTCATATGCCTTACTGCTTTAATAGTGTCACTCATGTCCTTAGGAAGTTGAATCTGTATCTCAACCTTCTCACCATCAGTGATCACACTTTCCCAAGCCCATATGTTGAAATAGGAAGAAACATTAATAACAAAACACTTCATCTGGTCATACAGTGTGTCACCCCATCATCCTCCAATGCATTACATGTAGATTGATTCATCATCAATTGCCAATAATCTATCATCCTCTTGGTCACATGATTAAGATTTATAGCTTCCTCACCTCCTCCAGCATGGCTATTCTGCACATTGTAATATTTAATATCTACACCTTTATGGAAAAGCAATACCCTCATGGTAGCATGTAACTGATTATCATCTGGAGGTATGGTATATTCTTCTATATATTTCACTAAGATTTTTCCATGTGCAATTATCAAAGTCCTGTCCAACAGACCGGGTTCTATGGCATTTACTTAAAAGGAGTAGAGAAATCCATTGGACATTTGGTACTCCACATATACACAATTGATCCATCGCTAAGAATAGTTGACTTAAGGGCCACATGGAACATGTCTTCAATTGCTTTCTTGAAAAGTAATACCTCATTATTCCATTGAGGTACGATGGACTCATTCTCATGAATATAAATTGCACATAGCACAATATCTTTGCCATATCTTCCAATAAAAAATTGCCTTGATAATTTAAGTTTATAAAACTCTTTCAACTCAACCAACAGTAATAAATACTCACCCTCACCTACAATGTGCGGCACAAATTTAATAGGTAGAGAATCATTCTGGTACTCCTCAAACTCCAATATTGCCTTGGACATTGAACAAAATACCATACCAGCCTTCTCTGATATTTGTTGTGGTTGGTCATAATAGAGTAAAGCCATTTTATCTCAAATACCACACCAGTCAAGTTGTGGCTATTTCCCACCAGAAGTGAAATTGCTGTAAAGTTTTTCCTTCTCAGCTCAAGACCAGACTCAATTTCCACCATGTAATAATACTCAAATGCCTTTCCGGAATTTAGTTGGATACATTTGATAATGCCTCCGGCTCCAAAGGGATTTGTGTAACTGTCAACAATAATACAAGAACCAACTTGTCCTTCTCTAATCAACTGTGCAAAGAGTACTTCACCTACACCATTTGCTTTTAGGACTTGCACTCTAAGAGGTTCGAGCAGTTTGGCACCTTCTTGTTCACCTTTCTGAGTTGCGTTGTTCCTTTCAAGTGAAATACCCTTTCCATCATCAATGTATTGTCTATCGCTCACTAGTGTGCTAGCAATCTTACCCATGCCCCATTCATGTTCAAGAATATTTTCAAGTAATGCACGTCATATCCCCTTCCATTAGAGTTATAGAACTGCATCAAAGATCTCAATACAGCATGGTGCAGCAACTTTAGCAAGAGTGTACTGTAATAAGGAATGATCATCTATTGGATAAATTGCCATGTGTTTAGGTTCAGAAGTAGCAACATTCACATTTTTAGCAACTGCTGCAACCTCGAAAGTCGTACATTTTCCTCCATTTTCTTGCTTCGCAGCTTCTACTGTACTCCTCTTTGCAACTGCTTCTTGCCTCACTCGTTCCTTTCCCTTTGAAACTCGAAGTGCCTGAGCAACTTCAGGATCCCAGCCCGGATCTACACCAATTTCAGAACCAGTAAACTTGGAATTCTCATTTCTGTAGCTTCGATCAGGCCCAATTACAAAGCTTCTAGGATCAGCAACTACATTCTCTAGCAGCTGGCTACGAGCTGGAACAGGGGTTGCATCTGCAAACTCAATAGCCTCTTCAACCAACTCACCATTCTTTTTATTTGTGACCTTTAACTCCAATTCTTCGGCAAGGTTGTTCTCACACAAATACTTCTTCAAGGCAGCGATAGGATTTCTCATGGTGTAGCGACTCTTTTCAACAAACGCAATGATAGCGACAGCTGTAGAAACATGAGTAATCAGACTACTATCTTTGTTGTCCACCACATTAGTAGTCTCTTCCTCAACACTCTTTGCTTTATCTCGCTCATCTAGAAGAGCACCTTGTGAATGTGAATCATGTAATGTCGAAGCAGTTTCCAATTCCTCAGGCCTTGTTGGATTCAGTTTCAAAACTTTAGCCTCAATAGTTGAAAGCTTTATCTCCACCACCACCTCATCATTCTCCTCAACTTTAATCAAAGCAGATTTCACAACATCAATATCAGTATTAGAAGACTTCCCTACAGCATCCCCTCCTTCATGAATAACATGTGAATCATCTAAACAAAAGCACGTCCTGTTTCTTCGTGCTTCGTCATCTCCATTGTCCCATCTTTTGCCCCCTCTATTCTAACTTGAACAATTGAAACGCTTGCCTCTATGACTGCTTCATTTTGCAGTTGATCGTTAGAAAGAGAAGCTAATTTGTCAAAAGGCACCACTACTTCATCCATTGGCATTTTATCGAACACATTCTGCGCACACACAACAGGTGTTGATACTAATGAAGGAAAGTCAGTTTGTCTCTTCATTGATCCTAGCTGCAGCTTAGAGGGTAAAAGTGATTCATCCTTTAATAGCTCAGCTTCCTTAGAACTCCTTTCCTCGAGCAAAGGCTCTGTTATCCCAAAAACAGTTAATTTCTGTTCATCGTCTGCCATTCTCGGAACAAGAATCCTTGTCGGAATAACGCCTCCACCAACAATAGTCGGAATCTCTCGGTCACTCGAAAAATCGATGGGAGTTGAAACTATTGTGATATTTAAAAAAAAGGTGGTCCATCCATGTGGCAATATGCATGCAAGTCTTCACAATATACTTGACAAATGGCAAAAGACTTGACAAATGGCAAAATGGCAAGAAAAGCCTTAACCTTTTTTGCCTATAAAAGGGTTTTCCCTTAAGCCAATTTTAATTAGTAAAAACATCATTCCTCTCCTTTGCTTTCACGTCTCCCTTCTTCTTTTGTTGTCCAATATTAAATATTAGTTGTTTCCTTTCTTATTTACTTTTCCTACTTGCTAGCTGGGTTTGTCATATTAAATTTAGTTGATTCTTGTATTCTCTAAATAAAATAGAGGTAAGCTTGTTTAATCCTGGAGAAATATTTCACACTGCTGAAATAGTTTCTTAGGACAGTGCCCAACACGACTCAAGCTAATTCGTGTATCTGTTTTATTATCGTTACTTTTCGGTGTCATTTTCCTACAATCTAAGAAACTATGGCAAATAACATTGATGCTGAAAATAATACTGATACCGCCAATATTGGCGTTACATCCGCTGCTCCAGCCCCAGTTGCACTTCCATATGCCAGGTCTTTTCCAGATGTGTCAATTATTGAAATTTTTGCCAATGAAAATTTCAAATGTTGGCAAGAACGTATTTTCTCACTGCTTGATGTCCATGGTGTTGCACATGCACTGCTGCATCCACAACCTAGTGCAGACGTTGATAATAAAATAGTGGAATCATGGCAATATGCCAACAAGGTATGCCGTCATACAATATTGCAAACTATTTCTAATGAACTGTTTGACGTGTATTGCAGTTATAAAGAAGCAAAAGCTATCTGGGAAGCTTTAATTAAAAAATTCACTACTGAAGATTCTACAAAACAAAAATTTGTAGTAGGAAAATTTTATCAGTGGCAGATGAGAGATGATAAAGAGATGAACATACAAATCAACGAATTTCAAAAAATGTTAGAAGACTTGAAGGCCGAGAGGGTGCCTTTACCAGAGAAGTTTGTTGCTGGAGTTCTAATTGAGAAGCTGCTTGACTCATGGAGTGACTACAAAAACAACTTAAAGCACAAACAGAAAAATTTCACCATTGAGGAAATTGTGACCCACATCCTAATTGAAGATTCCAACAGAAAAGAATCTGCCAAAGCTAGGATGACAGCTCTCAAAGCAAACTTAGTGCAAAACAGCAACAACAACCGCAAAAGGTACGAGAATAAGTCTCAAGGTTGCAAGCCTAAAAATCCTAACCTTAAAAGGAAAAAGGGCTCTTGTTTTGTTTGTGGAAAACCAAGCCACCATGCCTCACGGTGCAAGTACAGAGAAAGAAATGACAAAGAAAAAACTAATACTCATACGGCTAACTTAGCTGAAGGATGTGATATTATTGCAGCTGTCATTTCTCAAGTAAACATTGTAGCACATGCAAAAGAATGGGTGATAGACTCTGGGGCTACTCGGTACATTTATGCAAATCGAGAAGCATTTTCCTCTTATACTCCTCTAGAGGATGATAAAGAAGAAGTCTACCTTGGAGACTCATGTACTACCAAAGTCTTGGGCAAGGGTAAACTTCTCCTGAAACTCTTTGGGAAAAACTTTAGCCCTTGTTGATGTACTGCATGTTCGTACTATGAGAGCAAACTTGATCTCTGTATCCTTGTTGGGAAGAGCCGGAGTCAAAGTGTCATTTGAATCTGATAAGATCATAATGACCAAAAATAATGTGTATGTAGGAAAAGGCTATTGTAACCAAGGACTCTTTGTACTTAATGTTTCAAATGTTATTAATGGAAATGTATCTGCTTCTGCTTATATGGTTGAGTCTATCTCTTTATGGCATGCTAGATTAGGACACATTAATATCGCATATATAAAGAAAATGCGGTCCCTCGGATTAATATCTGGTTTAAACTCAAATAATATTGACAAGTGTGAAATATGTGTTGTAGCCAAAAGTACTAGAAAAACCTGTTTTCGGTAAATAGAGAAACTGAATTGTTATCTTTAATTCACACTAATTTAGGCGACTTGAAGAAGACTATGACTAGAGGTGGTAAAAGATATTATGTGACTTTTATTGATGACTTTTTTAGATATACTAAGTTGTATTTGCTTAGAAATAAAGATGATGCATTTAATGCTTTTATTTCTTATAAAACTGAGGTTGAAAATCAACTTAGTAGAAAAATCAAGAGAATTAGATCAGATAGAGGTGGAGAATATTTATCTTTAAATGATTTTTGTGAAAAGAATGGAATAATTCATGAAGTAAATCTGTCTTATTCACCTGAGTCAAATGGAGTAGCTGAAAGAAAAAATAAAATATTGAAAGAGATGATGAACTCTATGTTAGTTAGTCCTAATGCTCCTAATAACTTAGGTGAAGTTATTTTATCTGCATGTCACTTACAAAATAGAATACCACATAGAAGAACTGGAAAAACTCCGTATGAATTGTGGATGGGCTATAAACCTAACTTGAAATATTTAAAAGTGTGGGGATGTTTGCTAAAGTTCTTTTGCCTGAACCTAAAAAGAGAAAAATAGGTTCTAAAACTGCTGATTGCATGCTTATTGGGTATGCCGAACATAGTGTTGCATATAGATTTCTTGTTTTAAAAAGTGATGTCTCTGATTGCAATACTATAATTGAGACAAAGAATGCAGAATTCTTTGAACATATTTTTCCACTATCTGATAAAATTTCTCATACACCCGTTGAAACAAATAGTAAAATTACCTCTAATGAGGAATTGAGATGGAGTAAAAGGCCTAGGAAAGAATATTTTTCATATGGAAATGATTTTCAAACTTTTCTTATCGATAATGAACCATCAAATTATTTTGAAGCTATATCTTCTTCAGATGCTAAATATTGGAAAGAGGCAATAAAAGTTGAAATTGATTCTATTAAGAAAAATAATGCATGGATTTTAACTGATTTACCTCCTGGTGCAAAGCCTATTGGTTGTAAATGAATTTTCAAAAAGAAATTTAATCCTGATGGATCTTTAGATAAATATAAAGCTCGGTTAGTAGAAAAAGGTTTTTCTCAAAAATAAAATATAGATTATTTTGATACATTTGCACCAGTGATTAGAATTTCTTCTATTCGAATTTTAATTGTTTTAGCTTCAATCCGTAAGCTTTTTATCCACCAAATAGATGTGAAAACTGCTTTTCTAAATGGTGATTTAGAAGAAGAGCTTTATATAGTTCAACCTGAAGGCTGTGTCATTCCTAGACAAAAAAATAAAGTTTGTAAATTAATTAAATCTCTTTATGGCCTTAAACAAGCTCCTAAGCAGTGGTATGAGAAATTTAAACAAGTCTTACTGAGAAACGGTTTTTCTTCAGTTAAGGTGGATAAATGTATTTATACTTAAGTGGTAGACAATGATTATGTGATAATATGTCTCTATGTTGATGACATGCTTATATTTGGTACAAATTTAAATATTGTGCAAAGTACAAAATTATTTATGTCTGCTAATTTTGATATGAAAGCTCTGGGTGAAGTAAATACAATATTGGGAGTTAAAGTTATAAGGTGTGAAGATGGAATAATGTTGTCACAAGAACATTATATTGAGAGACTTCTTAAGAAGTTTGAATATTTTAATGTCACATCTGTGAGCACTCCTTTTGATGCTAACTCTAAGTTGAAAAAGAATAATGGTGACTCAGTTTCTCAGTCTAAATATGCTCAGATTATTGAGAGTCTAATCCATTTAATGAATTTTACAAGACCTGATATAGCCCATGTAGTGTGTAGACTGAGTAGATATACTCATAATCCCAACAGAGAGCATTGGTCTGTATTAGCTAGACTAATAAAATATTTGAGAGGAACCATGAATTATGGTATCCTATATAGTGTATTTCCTTCTACTTTAGAAGGGTACAGTGATGCAAACTGGATCTCTGATTCAGATGAGACAAAATCCACTAGTGGTTATGTATTCACCCTTGGTGGTGGTGTAATATCGTGGAAATCAGCTAAATAGTTGATCATTGCAAGATCGACTATGGAATCGGAGTTTGTAGCTCTGGAGTTAGCTGGTTCTGAGGCTTAGTGGCTAAGAAACTTCTTAGCTAATATCCCTTTAACAAAGGATGTATTGCCTCCTGTAACTATGCATTGTGATTGTCAAGCGGCAATAGCTATTGCAAAGAATAAATCTTATAATTGTAAAAGTAGACACATGAAATTGAGACATGATGTCATAAAAGAGCTGTTAAGAGATGGAATTATTTTCATTGACTATGTGAAGTCAGAGATAAATTTGGTCGATCCTCTGATTAAACCTGTGGAAAGAAAATTAATTCTTCAAACCTCAAAAGAGATGGGGTTAAGGCCGACATGTTGTCAATAGATATGGTAACCTAACCTATGTGATTGGAGATTCCATGAAGTAGGTTCATATGGGTAATAACAAGTCAATATTGGCACTGAAGCACTAAAAGAGAGTGCCTGACTACTACTAATTGAGAGGCTGAGTTATAACTCTTAATGAAATTCATGAATGATGTATTTAAAAGCAGTATACATTTGATGAATTCACTTATATGAGAGTGGAGTGGGCCGCTCCTATGAGATTTTGATCTAGTCTCTAGAGCTCTTATGAATAATCAGGCACGTGCATGGCCTATTGGGCGCAAAACCGCGTTGAACAGCAAAATTATCGGGGGTCGAAATGTGATTGATAAAATCTCTGACTTATAATAAAAGTTATTGGTTCATAAAAATATTATATTTCACCAGTAATTCTGTGAGTTAAATTTTATTGATTTAAGTTTGGTTCATAGTCCAGAAGACACCAAACCTATTGCATTTGGACCATACAAGTCCAGCAAACCTTACTCCTCTTTTATGAATTTTTTGAAACTATGTGGGGAAACTGTTGTGATATTTTCAAAAAGGTGGACAAATGTCCATCCATGTGGCAAAATGCATGCAAGTAAAGTGGACAAATATCCATCCATGTGGCAAGATGCATGCAAGTATTGACAATCATACTTGACAAATGGCAAGAGACTTGACAAATGGCAAGAAACTTGACAAATGGCAAGAAAAGCCTTAAGCTTTTTTGCCTAGGTCTTCCCTTAAGCCAATTTCAATTAGTAAAAACATCATTCCTCTCCTTTCCTTTCACGCCTCCCTTCTTCTTTTGTTGTCCAATATTAAATATTAGTTGTTTCCTTTCTTATTTACTTTTCCTACTTGCTAGTTAGGTTTGTAATATTCAATTTAGTTGATTCCTGTATCCTCTAAATAAAATAGAGGTAAGCTTGTTTAATCATGGAGAAATATTTCACACTGCTAAAATAGTTTCTTAGGACAGTGCCCAGCACGACTCAAGCTAATTCATGTATCTACTTTATTATCGTTACTTTTCAGTGTCATTTCCCTACAGAAACATCAACAATGGTGTTAACACGTAGAAATTGGTGTTGAGACGACAGAGAAAGGTGGGAATACTCAGAACTGATGTTGAAAGAAGCCATGTTATTGTCGGAGAAGAAACCCATAGCCGTGGTTCCTCCTGGTACCACGCCGGCAGTCTAGTAATTAGGAACAACAGTGGAAAACTCGTATGGCTGATACGCGTAGGGTTGATTGTAATGTTGCTGGTACCCACTAGAATAGTTTTCACATACCATATTGCTATACCCATATGGATTAGTATAATCATAAGGTATACGTTGTATTGCTGAAATCCTGTGAAAGAAATGTAGGTAAAACTGCTCGCAAAGAGTTATTGACAGTGAACTTAGAGCCACAAATAAGGTTTTAGAATGCCATTGATGACTACCCACAGAGCGAGGATGATTGCTCTGATACCACTGTTACAAAAACTGCAGAATTGAAGGAGAAAGGAAGAAATTCTACTGCTAAGCTAAGAATCTAAAGTGAAAATAAAGACAAGATTTTCATTCATAAACCTCTGAAAGGGCAAAACTTAGTACATATAGTGAATTAGGAGCTAGGAACTAAAATATAATAAAGGAAACTTACAATGGTAATTAAATAATAAGTTAAACTAGTTAAAATGGACTTAAATGCAAGAAGCAAAAGTTGTTAACTGATCGGTCGACCCCTCTCTCTAATTTCACCGTACAACCTAACAATCCCATTGTACAAGCTCCACCAGTAGCTCCAACCGTTCCCATTTTGAATCGTATCAGCAAGTGGCTTATATTCCGCTTGTTTCAACAAAGGAATATTATATTGTGTTTCACAAAGGCAGAAAGGTTCTTTTATGAATAAGATTGTTTACTAGATCCTATTGTAAGACCTCTCCAAACTAGTTACTTAATGCATGTTTTCTATCTTTACAGTGAAGGATTGGGTAAAACAGAGAATTAAAGAGATGATTTGCTGCAGAGGTGGCTGTCCAAAAACTATAAACAACCAAACAATAAGGCGAAAAAGACAATCTTTATACAACATTTTATAATTACAGTTTGCACTTCAGTGGCTTTTGATTGTTAAACACCCAAATGTCTTCTATGCAAATTGTAAAACTTTACCGTAGCTTATATACAATCTTCTAAATGAAAATCCACCTCCAACTGCGTGCAATATGGCAGAGGTGATTTAAAAAAACTTGCATAGTTTATATTTCTCCTCTTTATTTCTACACCCAGCCAGTATTTTGCCTGACCTATCATAATGCGCCTTATAGAAGTTATTTGATGGTCTAATGCAAGTCACAAAAAGCAACAGTTTCAGCTGCAGTGGTTCAAAAACTAGAGTTGCCATGATAAATCAAGCTCCCGCAGAAATAGGAGGGGATCTTGATAAGCCATAGCAATACCTATAAAATTCTAGCCGCCTTACAGCTGTATGCAGGATCAGTTCGTTGAGTTGATGATTGTAACTATGGGTTTCAAACAGGTGGGTTGGTTTGGATAAAGGCGAGTCAAAAACAGATAATGCAAAAATAAATAAATTATTTGACCCATACCATATTTAATACGGATAAAAAATGGGTTAACCGGTAAATAATATGGATATCCATAGCTTCTTGAATATGATCGCTTTTTGGAAGAATTCTTTGTCTCCAAAACTTGAGGAACCCTCAATTTAAGACTTTACAAATGTAAAAGGTAAACTTATTAGTTATCTATTTTCTAAGTGAATAATATGATTTTTATCCATATTTGAGCCGTTTTAAAAAAGTTCGTTATCCAACCCATTTTTAATGGATAATATGAGTGAATAATTATTTTCTTTTAACCATTTTGCCACCACTACCTGTAACCATCGATGAAGATCCACAATGTTGACAAGAAGGAAAAGGGGTTGGTAAAGTTGAGAGAAGCTCTTCCCAGAGTTAGGAAACTCAAACTTAGTTGCTCCTAGTAGTGGCAAAATGATTAAAAGAAAACAGTTAACCACCCATATTATTCACTAAAAATGGGTTGGACAATAAACTTTTTAAAAACGGGTCAAATATGGATAAGAACCACATTATCCATTTAGAAAATGGATAACCAATGAGTTTAACTTTTACATTTGTAAAGCTTTAAATTGGGGGTTCCCTTTGTTTGTGAGACTAGAAATTCTCCCAAAAGTGATCATATTTAAGAAGTCACGGATAATATGGTTACCCATATTATCCTCCGGTTAACCCATTTTTTTCTCGGATCGAATAATTTATCCATTTTTTCATTACCCGTTTTCAACCCGAACCATATCCGACCCGCCCGTCTGCCACTCCTAGTTGCTCCTATATTGACAATCTTCCGAATCTCAAAGATAACTAATCCAAGTTACAAGTCATCACGGTACATGTACCGGTTCCAAAGCTTCAGATGGCTGCTTTATGATGATAGGCTATAATTACGTATTTTAGTCTATTATTACACTCTAATTTACTGCATTTTAGTTGAGTTTGCGCTTTAATCGCTAATGTTTTGCAATAACGATGTGTTTTATGCCTTGTAGGAGTGATTTCGAGCTATATAGATGTTATGGAATGAATTCAAGTGATTTGGAGCTTTGAAGTCTGAGTAAAAGCCCAAGGAATTAAGTCGGGATTGTGTCAGGGGTCAACTTTGATAGTTAAGAATAAACGAAGACTCGAGAGGGCATATTGCGCACTGTCTAGTAAAATACATATAACTTTTTGCTCAGAACTCCATTTTGGCTACACAATATATGGTTGGAAACCTAACTCAAAGGTATACAACTTTCATGTTTTACGTCTTTCCAAATTCTAAAAGAAACAGGGCTAAACGCGTGAGATTTGAGCCAACACAAACGAAACCAAGAAAAAGGGTCAGTTGGGCGCCACAGGCAGTGCCTGGCGCCACCTGTGGCACCAAAAATAGTATGCACAAATAATGGGGCGCCGTTGGCGCCAGGCTGGGCGCTGGTGATGTGAAATGTGTCCTATTTTGCCCGGGACAAGTTTATTTCGGCCCTAGACCTACCCAACTGATATAAAAGCAAGACTAAACCTATTTTTGAGGGAGGAGACGCCACTTTGGAGTAGAGATACACACGGGATCGTGAGGAAGCGAAGAATTCTCAGTTTT